CAAAAACTACCAGAACTTTTTAGTTGGAGGATGAAATCAACTCATTTTTTTAGGTTGATGCACTAATCATTTGTTCACAATTTTGTGCTCTTTGTAAAATCTTGTAGCATTCACAGTTTTTGCGTAAAAAAATGTGTCTGTTTTCTAGTCACTTAACAATTCTAGACATTACTGCAAATATGCGCCTCGTAAACGCGTACGCTTTCACGCAAATTGTCTTCGCAAAACCCTAATACTTTGACCATGTCGGTCATTTCTTCATTAGAAAAGGTTGTTCAAAACGACTTTGTGAGATTGATTGACAATGATTTTATGCCTCGTATCACGATATTTGCAGTTAATGTGTAACATTGTTAAGTGGCAAGGAAACAGAAATATTTTTTTTCGCAACAACTATGCTTGCTACAAGATTTTACAAAGGGCACAAAATTGTGAATAAATGATTAGTGCGTCAACCTAAAAAAAATGAGTTGATTTCATCCTCCAACTAAAAAGTTCTGGTAGTTTTTGTACCACGACACTCAAGAATTCACCACTTGTCCAAAACGGCTGAACTCGATAGTTTCATCAAAATATGAGTCTTACATAAGAACAAATTCATAGCGAGTTTCACTAAAACACATCGTACCATTCTCCCGATATTTCGAAAAAGCTAATTTTTTTGAAGAACTTTGACCATCGATAGCAGGGGAGACAAACATTTTTTATTAATAAAAGTTAGGTCAGATCGTCTTCTTTTGGTCCTAAGGTCGCAGTACCCTTTTGATCATGAGCTTACGGGACACCCTGTATACATACCAAAAATTTGCTTTCTTCAATTCGTTTGTATATTTACAATACACTTCTTTCTATGTTTGTACATCATTTATTAAGATATTTGATTACCATGACTACTCTTTTATGGCAAGAACGATGAAACATCCGCCATCCTTCGATATACTTTGTAAAAGAGGTATATGATTAGTTCTCATCAGCTGGGTTTGTCCTGAGACCTGCACTTGCATGTTTTTCTCTTCAACCTTCTGTATGTAACAGAAATGTAAAGTTCAATGAAACTAAAATTGTTTTTTTTGGAAAAACGACGCTGTATATCGAATTCAAACTATTCGTGCTTACATGCGATAAAATCACGTCAGATAGGTAAGTACTTATGAGCTAGAAACATCAGTGGGCATAATTTATTACGTAAGGTCGATTTAAGGACTTAAGTCCGCTTATCTCCAAATCCTCAACATGAACACTATCGAACCGAGGCCCGCGTCTACAATAAGAATCAAGTTTATTGCAGAAAACAATTAAAATATTTTAGCGGAATCAAATTCCAACTATCAATCACAATATTAAGTAGAAATTGAAGTGAAAAGTAAGTATTATTTGGAATCTCAAGTACCATAACGCGAATGATACAAATCGGATTCAGCTAATACTGATTTGCGCAAATCCGCAACATCACCATCTCTACCTGTTTATTGATAACGATAACACAAATTGATAAATAATTGTTTAAAGCTCGTTGGAACGCGGCGCTGAGAGAAAAGAATCGTTTTTTTTGCTGGCGAGTTCGGACGATTTATTATCTCCGTTATCGTCTCAGTTAAAATTCGCTCATGTTATCCTGTCATTGTCAGTGATAAATCCGCGAGATGAACGTAGATGTAGCGCAAAGTGGAGATACAGTCGCTGAGAAGAGGCTTCAGCCTCTCGCCTCATTTCAACCCAGTGAAAATAGGGAGCTCATAGTTGGTGTCGCGTTCGGCATTGTGGGTGTAATTATTTTGATTTTTGTGCTGATCTGTTTATGTAAGTAGGTGCAGAATTTTCCTAGTTAATGTGTTCTTTTTGTCACCGATTGTGCGTAGCGGTGTCTAGAAGCGCTAATTGACAACTTGCCTTTGCAAATAACCAGCGAACAAACGTTGCGCAAATATGAACATTAATACATTCATAAGCAAATATAAATTTTGCTAGGACTTTAAAATTAATCTCAGCAATCTAATAGCACAATACTTTGATTTTTTTAATTTTTAAAAAAATTGTAATTTTCGGATTAAGTTGGGAATGTTTATTCTAAACTTCGAAACCGTTTTGTTACTCAATATGTACAATATTTTCCGTTTTTCAAAATTTTACAACATTTGATTGAAGACTGGAATGGAAATGCAAAAATTGAAAGCAAAATATGTAAATATTTTGAAATGGGTTACTTAATCTCAGGCACCCCCCAAGAACCCAGATAAGTTTTTGTAAACATATCTGTCTATCTATCTTAAAATGCTGCCATTCGGAGTCAATCCTTTTTTCAGTTGAACTATAATTCTTTCGCAATAAGTGAATCATTAACATTCAAATATTTTTAAGGCTTATGACACTTGAACTTATATCATAGTTGACACTTAAATTAATAACTGCAGGTGTGTGGTTATTCACTCTAGAATTAAAATTTTATTTTGCCAGTGATCCGATCAGAATTAATGAGAATAGATATTTCATTATTATACAATTGTATTAAACATGTTTTAGATTTATGCACATGTCATGTATAACAGTTATTCAAGGTAACTACATACATTATTCGATTCCTAGACAGTTAATGAAACTCGTTCTTCTGTTTAAAACAAAATGGTTATGAAATGATCAATAAATAGAAAAATAGTACTTACCTTCTGTTGTTGTTATCAGTTTCTTGTCCGTTATTGAAAAAACCAAGTAACCAAGATGGGCTGCAGTTTGACAGGAAAACGTCAGAAAATTGCAAAGTTGAAAAAATCTGTATTTTTGCAAAAATCGCACTACCGATTGGAGAATGATCACAAAACGGTAAAGAAAAACTTGCTGTTTGAAAAAATTAACAATTGTCGCCACGGAAATAAAAAATACAAGCAATTTTTTTAAATTTTTACTTTGAACCGAATGGCGCACAGCATTCACTATGGGTTATTAAACTGAAAACTGAAGGAACTGACACATATAATAATCAACGAACTTCGGACGTAACACCAAGTAATTCTTCCAAGGCTAGTTCCAATTTTAAAGTAAAATTTCAATAAACACTATTGCACAGCTCATTTACAAAAAATCGAAAATAATGAAACAAATTAAAAACTAATTTTTTTTTAGGCAAAAAACCCATTACTTCAAAATCCATTGGCAACGCTGTGATTTATCGGGCAAGCCTCTGAATTTAAATCTTTTGCAGGAAAATTAGGTCATCTAGACCAGGGGTTCCCAAACTGTGTTCCGCGCAACACTAGTGTTCCAAACACTAGTCTGCATATTATTGTAACAACAAAAGCCCGTAAGACTTTTTGTGTTTATATCTACGTTTTATTATTAGAATTATAGAAAACCGTTTTATAATGCCATTCAATAGTATTTTATTGTAGAATAAATATTTATTATTATTATACTTAAATACAGGATGATTCTAAATTAAATTGCGTTATTTTAACTGCGCAAAAATAAGTTCGTTAAAACAATGGCCTCGATGACGAGATAATGTGAATTTATTGTAAATTATTTGGAACTGGAGTAATTATTTAATCAGTATTTATAGTTATTTTCACTTTTCAGTAATCATTTTTATGTTCTCATTTTCTTACTTATGTTACTATGTTGTATGCCTGAACATTTAAAGGCATCTTTTAGAAAACTTGCTATTTGTTAAAGTTTAGTTGAATTTAATCAACTTTCGAGAACAATTGCAAATAAATTAAACAAAAAAAGTGTTTTCTATTTAAGCCTTGCCACATTGGATTCTACTTAGAGATGTTAAAGTTCTTGTCATTTTCGTCTTAATTAATAAATTTTTACACTTTGCCTTTGTCAATAATGCAACTGAAATGGTTCTAAAAGGCTCACTTCGAAACAAAGTTAGCATTTAATATTTAACGCTTTAAATCAACAAATACGCGCGACCTCTTATCTTAGGTATGTTAAAATGAACGATTTAATCAACTTATGATCATTTTTCGCAACAATTAGCGGTGTCATGGAAAAT